CTGTGTCTCTCTCTGTCAAATAAATAAAATCTTTAAAAAAAAAAAATGAGTACGATTAGAAAATAAAGATATAGCACAGAAAACCACTGTCCAAAGCTGTTATCTGAAAAGACCAATAAAACAAACTTTTGCTAAGATTATTCAAAGAAAAAAGACTCAGAAAATAATATAAGAAATATGAAAAAAAACTCAGAAAATAATATAAGAATTATGAAATGTAGTTATAGATATATCAGAGATTTTTTTTTTAAAAAAAGATAAAACTAGGAAAAAAATTTATGCCAACAGATTTTGAATATCTAGGTGAAATATACTATTTATTAGAAAATTATAACTTTTTTTTAAAGGGGGGGTAGGGCAGAGAGAGAATCTAAGTTCCACGCCCAGTGCGGAGCCTGAAGTGGGGCTCAATCTCACCACACTGAGATCATGATTTTGAGCTCAAATCAAGAGTCAGATGCTTAACTGACTGAGCTACCCAGGCACCCCAGAAGATTATAACTTTTAAATCAGCTTTTGAGTAAAGAGAGAACATGAATAAACCTGTAAGTATAGCAGATAAATAAAGGGAAACAAGCCTTTATCTTGCCTTTCCCACACAGGTTCAGAGGAGATCTGAATAGAAGATGAAGGCAAATCTGTCTAGCGAAGTAGTCTAGGTGATCAATGGAGAAGGAATGATAGGATTAGAACACCTGCATTTTGCAACCCCAAGCGAATTGTTCATCACCAGTGGCTAACGTGACAAAAAAAGACAACCAACTATTAACATTTGAAGGATAGGGGCGCCTGGGTGGCTCAGTTGTTAAGCGGCTATCCTTGGCTCAGGTCATGATCCCGGGGTCCTGGGATCGAGCCCCACATCGGGCTCCCTGCTCGGCGGGAAGCCTGCTTCTCCCTCTCCCACACCCTCTGCTTGTGTTCCGTCTCTCGCTCTTGCTGTCTCTCTTTCAAATAAATAAATAAAATATTAAAAAAAAAAATTTGAAGGGCACATTAAGAAGTTAAGAAGTATATAAAAAGTAATCTTAACAAAGAAACGGGACTTGAAACTGAGCAAGTCACTTGATCCAAGCTCTGATTTGCATGTAACAATTTAATTGTAAGCTGTGACAGAGGGATTTCTAGTGCGTAAGGCTCCCAAAGATGCATCTGCCAGAGAATGGTTCCTCCAAGGACTGGAGTCCTGGAGACCGGTTCTAAGTCAGCCAGGTTCAGGCTGCTAACATAACCAGCAGAGGAGAAAGGCATGATACGGGACTGATGGGCGGTGGAAGGCAGAGTTTGAGGGGGGTTGTGTGTCCAGCTGGGCAGTTTGTTTTATGCTATAAATAAATGGTGATAAAATGTCACTCAAGGATTTTCAAGAAAGTAACAGAATCATACCAGTATTTTAATGGGATCAGCCTACTAGCAGTATGGAGGATGTCTTAGAGCAAGACAAGACTGCAGGCAGGAAGGTCAATTAATTTAAATATCAATTATATCTTTATATTTAGGAACCATACCAGTATCATCAGCCATATTAATAAATCACCTGGGGGTAGAGTAATTTCTTGTGGTGAAATCTACTTAGGTCTAATTTTGTATTCTTTTTAAAAAATTTAGATAATTGCTGACCTTATTCCTAACTTATAGAGACCCTGTAGACTCTAAAGCATCTACTACCGAATATAGAGTTGAAAAATGTGACATGTAAATACACATTAATAATATATAATAATAGGGGTACCTAGGTGGCTAAGTCAGTTAACTGTCCGACTCCTGATTTCAGCTCAGGTCATGATCTCCGGGTTGTGAGATCGAGCCCCGTGTCAGGCTCTGCACTGGGCATGGAGTCTGCTTGAGAGTCTCTCTCTCCCTCTGCCCCTCCTCCTGCTCTCCCTCTCTTAAAAAAAAAAAAAAAATATATATATATATGATAAAATTATATGTATAAATACATAATAAAATATAATAAGAATAAAAATATCATTTCTTGTGTTTATGCCCTGGACTTGGGACCAAGAAGACCTAGATTTACAGTTTGGATCTACAACTCACTAGCAGTATGATTCCAAGAAAACCACCACTGGGCACCTCAGTTTCACCTGTAAAATAAGAGGGGAGGGATTATTTTCTTCACTGCTGTGTCTGCAGCACTCACATGGTGATCTACACATTGTTTATGTCAAAAAATATTTTTTGATTAAAGGCATTTATTGATTAAAGGCATGTCTACTCTACAGAGTTGCTGTGATAATGAAAGGAGATACACATTGTGAAAGGTCCTAACACAGCTCTTAACAGAGACGTTATTAAATGGCCGTTTTGTGCCAGGTGCTGGGCAGACGAAGATGAGTAAGACAGCATCCTTACTTCGGTAAGCTTCTGCCTAGAGGGGCTACATAAAGTATGTACGATGGAGCACACAGTACCATGAAGTGCAGAGTAGGTGCTCAATAAACACCGAATCTGAATTTTTATGACACTTTTCAGTTTACAAAGCACCCTCACGAACATTACTCTATTTGAAATAACAGGTACTATCAGTTTTACAAGAACTGACAGAGGTCTTAGGCATTCAGCAGAGGGGAAGGATGATCGGTTGGGATAAACAGGCACAACTTCATAGGAAAGACATAATTTGAAATGAGCTTCAAAATATGGACAGATTTTGACAGGAGTGAAAGATGGAGAGGTGGAAGCTTTTTGTTTTTTTAAATAGGCTCCAAGCCCAAGGTAGGCCTTGAACTCATGACCCTGAGATTAGGAGTCATGTGCTCTACGGACTGAGCCAGCCAGGTGCCCTGGGGATGGGAGTTTTATAAGATGGAGAAATATATAAATCCCCTCTGGAATACTGCTGAGTTGATATTAATCTTTGGAATCAAGCCTTATCCATCTTTGAAAATCCAGAGAACGTTTTCCATCTTTAATTTTCAGGTACATGCTTCAGGAATTGTCACGATTACTAATGGAAGTTACACGACAACATTCATTTATTCGCCAATCTTTACTGCCCACTTGATATGCTCAAAGCCATGTCACGGGTAGTATGAGGGCTACTAAGATGAACAATGTATATAAACTACCCCACAAGGCACAAAGCTGGAAGCACTAAAACCCAGCTGAAGCTGGATCTGTTGAGAGAAGAGAGAACATTTGCACTCCCTGCCCCTCCCGTTTTCTTCCTACAATTAATTCATCTCACTGAAGATTTGATCTTATAAAAAAAAATGAACTGTTCTTTACAACTTCCTCTTTCCGACTACTTGTCGGGTTTGTTGTGCCCTTTCCAGCCTGAAAGTCTTTCTCTTTATGGGAAGATTTAGACAATTTGGGAGCCAAACGACTGCCCTCCTTCTGCCATCAGGTTCAATGCCCAGCACACCTTGTCTCAAGAAACTTTACTCAGGTCTATACTTTCTTGTTCTGAATATTCTTTAAAGTATCTTTTATTGTGTTCAGCACAATTTCTGCAAAATCCACTTGACTATGATCTTTAGCGTCTTTAAAGATGGCTTTAGGGAGGGGGCCCAGGAAGTTATCACATTAATGTTCGTGACGCACTATGTACGCCATTGTGCGTTTTTTCTGTAACCCTCAGAACGGCCCTGGAGACTGGAACATCTTATCAGCGTTTAAGTGTTTTGGAAACTCTGATCCTCGAGGACAAGAATTCATCCAAGGTCTCAGAGCTCAGGAGTGGCAGACCTTGGATTTGAACATTGCTATTTCTGACCTCAAAGCCCATGTTCTCTCCACCACAACGTATCAATCATGATAACGTGTATTTTTAATCTCATCTTCCTTGCGTTTTGTAGAAGCCCCTAAGGGAAAAAAACTCAGTTCATCAAAAAGTTTCCAAACACATGGATTTCATGTGCTGAACAAGCATTTATTTATCCTGGATTATTACCTTTCTCCAGTATCCCCGAGTTTATTCATTATTGCGACCTTTACAACTGTACAATCATAATTGTTCCTGTGTATCACGTCTGTCGGCACTGTGATATTTCCTACTGTCCTTGTTCGACAATGCCCAGACTTCATTTCCCCCCCTAATTTGAACTCCAGGATGATGATCGCCCACATTGGTTTTTGTTTTGAACAGGGAGAAGGCGAGAGGAGCGAGGAACAGACGTGGTTTCGTTACCTGCGGGTCGTTTCACCTCAACTTTCCGTCCAACGTTCGGCTGCCTCGTAGAACTCACCGTTCCTGCGTGCCCACGGGGGACGGAGCTGCAAGGCGCCGGCCCACCTGCTCGGTAGGTGCGCCCACCCCGCGCTCAGCCCCGCCCCCTGGAGGCCACACCCGCCCGGGAGGCGTGGGAACGGGCAGGGGGAGGCGCCGCACTTGGGGTGCCGCCGGGTTTATAGGTCACCCGGAAGGCGCGCGCAGTCCGCGGCCGCCGCACGGAGCAGGTCCTCGCCGGGACCCCAGCCGCCTTGCTCCTCCCCACGGGTCCCCGGGCGTCCGGCGCC